AGCTGAAGTTCTGTGATTTTTAGGCCTTTCCAGTGGCCTTCTAATGGAGTCTAATGGTGATAAAACAATGCCATATTTAGTGACCTATAATAAAAACTACACTGGTGCACGTTGATGTTATACCTGCCATGAAAATTGGTTATAATACCACCCATGATTTTGAATGGATGATGTCTCTCCAGTTATAAAATTGTGTGGTCCAGAATGTATTCGAATGAAGTAAGCTACAGTTCTACATGTTGGTGGAGGAGTTTTTGAACAACCTGATGGATTCTGCGATTTCACTGCAGCATTGCGTCAGTACGAATCATTCTCAAGACTTGCTGAACATTTTTCATAAATTTGTGTGTCAGTGGTGAAACAGGAATATCTTTTTAAATTATTGGTTTTTTGAATGCAGGTAGGATAAAATTATTTTTTCGTATGATTGTTTTTTTGAATTTTAGAATAAATGTTTTTCAAATTTTATTGGATTTTTGAATGGTTTTTAGATTTTCTTTAAAGTGTATTTATCATACATTCTTGGCATTCACAGGAGTCAGTTTTTCCTAATTCATAATATGTACAGTATATGTTTACAAGGTGAATATTTTACATTTTGTTAATATTCATATATTTTCCCCCTCTCGTATATATCCCTAACAGTTATAAATTCTTGATAGATCGTCTATCCTTTTATATCATGCTTTAAATATTTTTTGTGTTGGCAATTAGAATCATATATCTTTACTGAATTCACTAGTCATTTCCTGTAATAAAAATCCTACTGTTGATTTTCCAACTGAAAATATAGCAGCTATGTAGATATCACATGCTTCAGAAAATTGCCTCCTTTTTGGGAAACAGGCTCTGCATTATATTTTGTTAGATAGAAATTACAGTTTCTCCTTTCCAATATAACTTCAGATTTAACAAAATTTAACCATGTTGTTGCCGTGGATTCTGATATCCTTAATTCTGTTAGAGAAATCATTTTAAATCCTCCCACTACTGGAAACTATATTCTACAACAAAGATTGATTGCAATACATTCTGAAAAGTGAAGTGTCAAAAATTCATACTCTGTTGCAAGGTCTTGAGCTTGGCGACCAACACCCTTTCTCAGTTGTTGACTCATGTGCATGCTTTAGCAGGTGATACTGTATGCAAACCCTCGTTAAGATCGTTATGGCTTGCGAGGCTCCTCAATAATTACAGTCTATTTTGGCTACTCTCAAGTGAAGATGATTTGAGTAAATTGGCTACAGTCGCTGGTAAGATTACTGAGCTTGCATCTCACTCTTATGTAAATATGGTTATCGCGACCCCTGAGCCAAGTGAATCTGCTGAAAAGTTTGCAGGCTCAGAGAAAAATTATTAGAAAATACCTTCATATGTTCATCAGTCGAAAAAAAAATTTTTTTTCTTATTACTTTCCAGCTGTGAAAAAAAAACTGTATAGGTTTTTTATAGGTGTATTCCTGAACAAAGAGATTATTCTAGGGCATAAATTCACAACTGAGCTTCTTTATTTTCTCACAAGTACATTTAACAGTTAATAAAATCTGTATCTTCAAAATTTTCAATAAGATTTATGTCACACTGTAAATTAGTTAAATTGATTTAAAGATTTTTCCAATGTGTTATTCAAGTTAAATAATTAAAGGCTTCTTAACACTTTAATGTTTATTAGTGGTAACAAAAATTATGTAAACTCAGCCTTAGAATAATTAAAATCTTGGACTCTTTCTAAGGTATAGTAAAAAGTCCGAAATCTAGACTTGTCGGGACTTCGGCGATTCTGGATTTGGGATTTTTCCGGATATTAGATTATCAGTTTAAATCTAGTAAGATGGCATGTACAAATTAAAAATATGAAATTGTGATTTATGAAATAATGAAGTATTCATGATTTAAAGGGTATCAAAATTTACAAAAAAAAGCTTAATATTTATTTATTTATTTACCTTATTAAACTCTTTCAATGTAAGTTGTTTAAGTTGCTTCGTTTTTTTTTTTTTTTTTTTTTTTGTGCTAATATTTTCTCTTTAATTCTGTAGACAGACATAATCTCTTGTTTAGTAACATTGTTGAAGTCTTGTAACTGCTGTTCCGAGAATTCGAACTAACTTGTCAATCGAAATTTTCTCGTTTTCAGTAACTTCTCTGTCACTTTCTTCACTATCAGTAGTGGTATTCTCTGGATCTAAAACCATACGACAGATTTTACCATTCATCAATCGATTGATGATTAAGAGACTGTCATCATATCTGGATCTAGAACCATACGACAGACTTCGCCATTCATTAATTGATTGATGATTGAGAAGCATTGTCTTCACAATGAAAAACTTCTTTTAAATCATCTTCATTTATTACTGCTTCTCCACATTTCTTTACAAAATCCGTTAATAGGAAAATTTCACCTTTGTTTTGCGATATCCGAAAACCTTTAAAATTAGCGGCTATCATCATCAAATTTATATCCTTCACTATACATATTTGACTATGCATCACGAGCTTGGCGACTAACAAGTTACTCCGTTAAATTTTATCTTGCTTCTATCGCACACTGAGACAATTACGCCTGAATTGTTTAGTTATTTATTACAATTATGTCTATCTCTTGAACATGCTTATCAGAGTTATCAGAGTTCTGAATAAATAAATTCCCACATATACTTAAGCTTTATTGAGGGCTGGCACTAGATATCTTACCGCCTGATGCAGTCTCTGTGGGTCCTAAATTCTGTGACTCCATGCGGCCATACGAGCCCTGGCGCTGGGTATATGTAAATAACAAATCAGTTATTCAAAATTCAAATAGCCTTAAATGTAATCTTTGGGTCTATGCGTATCATCAACAAAATCTATTTTTAGCATATGGAAAGAAATTTTTGGTAAATTTTCCCTCGTCAACATTTCTTAGTGCATTTAACTTAAATCTGTAATCATCGCCAACATAAAAAGTTACCATGCTCATTTATTACTAACATAAAAAAAAAAATTGTTTAGGCATCGCTACACGAGTCATTACTCAAGTTGTGGCAGTTTTCGGATAACCGGCTCTTGGCGACCTCGCTACGGCAGCCGGTGGGGGCGATTTCCGCCAAACCCGGCTACCGACCCCGACAACTTTCTGCTGACGTTTAGGTTATTGTAGAATCCGGAATATCGGGAGGGATTTAGGGAAAACTTCTGAGGGCTCATATTGAAGGTCACGTGACCATTTTTCTTCGCTTCTGCTGAGTGGTTAGAAGTTGAGAAGTTTGTCTCCTACTTGATCGGAGCGTAGGTAAAAAATAATAGTTATGGGAATTAAAACGAAATTATAAATAAATAATAATGTTAAATGCGAGTTAAAACCGATAATTTATAATTAAATAATAATGTTTAAATGTGAATTAAATATAATAAAAATTAATTATTATTTTTACGTTTTTCCCTTTTGCTTTTCATTTTTTACATATATTGGTCGTAATTGGAGTTTCAATAAAAAAAAATTTTAATTCCCTTGGCGCATTTCTGAAATCCAAGATGGCGGCCAAAAACTCGCCAAATTCAGCCAAGAGCCGGGTATCCGAAATGAGCCCAAGTTGTCATGTTTTGATAAATATGCGGTTATGAAAGGAAAATATAATAAATAATGATTTGCCAGGTTGGCGTCAGATCAACGATGTATCTATGTGGAATGCTTCGGTTTGAGATGTGTACCAAAAAGCAGATACGCAGCAACGAAGCCAAATTACTGATCGTACAAATTTATGCTAAAATATTTGTTTCTTCAATAACAAGGCATTTTATTTAGTGCTGAAATGAAATTAAGAATCAGTACTCTCCAAATGTTTTATTATGCATGGAGGGGGAATTAAAATTGCATGCGTAAAGCCTAGGAGAAAAACGTCGGTGGTTTTGAGGTCCGGATTTTAGATCATTCAGGATAATGGAGGTCTGGATTTCGGACTTTGTACTGTATTTGGATCAAATTAATATTTGAAATGACTTCACAGGCCATATAAAATGTTTTGGGGACACTAGTTTGAGACCACTAACATATAGTACCAATACCTATACTATCAATACATGTATGTGTGTGTGTCTGTGTGCATAACAGAGAGACACACAAATTTTGTTCACATTTCTACCATAATAAAATCACTTAGGATTGAGCATATGCATTTCAGTTAACTTTGTGTAAATATGTACAGAGTGTATGTGTCTGATTTATATGTATACACACACATACATACCCATATATGTATATAAAACAAAGATCTCTTAGAAATCTGAGTATCAACGATTTTTTTCGTACCTCTAAGAGAAACAAAATTCTGAAAAAAAATTATAAAAATACCAGATAATGCATTGAAGCAAATATTTTACTCTTTCTTACAAAACACAAAACTTTTTACATTTTTACGATACACTAATTTGAATTCTAGCACTGAATTCTAATTTTCTAATATACAATGTTTAACTAATATGAGTTTAGTAGAATATATCAATAACATGATAGCAGAAATTCTAAGGTACCTAATCCACATTAATGAAATACACATTACAAAGGACTAAATGTTTCATTAATAAGCAAAACAGTGTTTCTAACTTAAATAATAAGAAACATACAAAAAACAGAAAAACAAATGCATATTAATAAACACTTATTGCTCAGATAAATGTTCTGAATTTCGCACAAGGCATGTGAAATAAAATACGTGTATTTCTGCAAGCATTCTGTATATGTTACCTATTATATCGCAATTTCGTGTATTAAAAGCAGTCAGTTATTCTTATATACGGTAACGATAGGGCTACAGTATAATTACGAAATTAACGTCCCCACAAATCATCAAACTGAAAACAATATTCACTTTTAGAAGAGCGCGAACTTCGCATAAGTTTGAAAACCGTCCGATAATTATGGAGTATGTTACTGGATTTTTCTAGTCTGACATTTTCCAAGCAAGTAAGAAATGAACATCACTGAATTATTCGATTCGTAATTCAAAAATTAAACAAACCTGAATATCTCGTAATCCTCAAACGTTTCGTAGTAAATTGCTACGAATTCAAAGTATAAAATCTCTAATTCACTCGCAGACGAAGTACCATACATGTAAACCCTATTCTAACAATTTTTGTGGCTCGACAACAAGCATAGTGACAAGTGAAATATTTGCTTTCTATGAATTCTCTGGAATGAAAACTCTTGAACATACAGCAACCTTATTTTTTATCATAATTAAAATGAATATAAGCAGTAGCTTTGAGAATGCAAAATGTTTTAAGAAATCTAACATGCGTTGACAACAGTGTTCCTAAAAAAGATAAAATTACTAGTTTTTGTTTCCATCGTAGGCTAAACATACGAGCCGTTTTAAACGGAATAATAAAATTCTGTTCTCATTCCCCGCCATCCAGTCGTTTTATTAAAAAACACCACCATATACCTTTTTCAACAAAAGGTATTAATATGGTTTTACTAAAGAATCATAAATTATTGTTCATATTCTCTAATCATATATCAAGGCAAAATGAGACATACACCGCCGCTCAAGCTGCTTTCGGACGAGGGCAGTTAAGGCGGTTAGTTGACAAATGTCTGCCTATAATAACATATAGTGAATTTGAGTTTCAGAAAGCAGCGCCTCCTTTTCTTCTGTGTCACGTGAAGAACATCAGTAAAACAAAAAGACGAAAGTAAAAGTCAGTTGGTCGCCATCAGTCGACTCAGGCGAACATCAGGCACCCGCGCGGCAGCGCTATCCCGGGCTAACAATGTTGACGATTTTCGATCTGTAATGTGACCAAGCATAGAACAGGGAGAACATTAGGTTGAAAAACTCGTAGGGAAAATCAATCATAGAGTTTCCGAAGTAGACCACGTCGATCAGAAACAGTGTAGGAAGTGGAAAAAGTCCTCGATGAATGTTTCAGGGCTACACCAGTGGCGACGTTGAAATTAGGCTGGGAAATGCAAGTAAGATGAGGAGTACTTTAACTTAGGAAAAAAGAAAAATTAAGGAGTGCAAAAATACCCTGCAGTCTTAACCAAAGCAAGAGATGGTACCAAAAGTTAAATAGTTACATATAATAAACAGTTACATTTAAATACAGAAATTACATATTTTTTAAACGAGTAGAGTAGACTTTAAGGTACCCCTTGTATTATGGCGAAGTTGTTGTTTGTTTTATCGCCAAGTTGTTGTTTCATTTATGGTAACTTGAGTAGTTCAATGTTATGGAAACCCTATTGTGACGTAATCGGGTGCATGATTCTGGGAAATTTTGAATTCATGGGATGTTTTGTAAGCGCTTTTGTGGTGTATGTTGTTTTTGATTGTTTAGACGGTAGAATGGCCTGAAGTGTAGTAAGATTAATTTGAAGCTTCTGTACGATTTGGAACACGAAAGGAGAAAAGAACCTTTAATTGACTGGTTGTGTAAATGAAGGTTTACTTCAGTAGCCCTTTATAAGTGTCCTGTTATGTAGGAAGGATATGCGTCTAGTCGAATGTAAAAACTGTTTAGATGGATTTGAATGAGTTTGTAGGAAGAAAGGTTCAGATGGTCACTATGTGAAGCGTTCGATCAGAAAGAGTACCTGGTTTGAAAAAAGTCATTTGAGTATGATTGATATTTTGATTTTTACGTGGATCTGGGTGTACGAAGCGAATTCGAAAATCATGGTAAGTGAATATTTGCTTTTGGTAATGCTTAAATGTATAACATGTTTTTCCTTTTTTATGTTATTTTATTGTGTGGTTTAAAATGTATTTTATTGAGATTATGTATTTTTGTTTGCCTATATTGTAGAATTGGGTGCTCCTTTGACTTTGTAAGTGAAAATATATCGATGTGTACATGGACAAAGTAAAGGGAGTGAGCAATGCAAGTTTGTGCAATTCTGGGATTTTTTTTTAAAGTGAAAATAGGTCGACGTGTACATGGATAAAGTTAAGAGTGCGCAATGCCATTTTTGTGCAATTCGGGGATTTTTTTTTTTTTGAGTTAAAATAGGTCGATGTGTACATGGATACCGAGTTTGTGCAATTGTTTGTCTTGTTATTTTGGCTTTGTGTAGCGGCGATTTTTGGCGTAAAAATCGCCGCTTCTCAAGCCAAAATAACGAGTCAAAGTATTGCACAAAATCGGTATCTATGTACCGCCAAAAATCGCCAAGTTTCGCCAAGGGGTACCCTAAACTATACTTTTACCTTTTTAAACATTCTATTACATATTTTTTAAATGTATTAAAGAATTAATTTTTGAGAGAGCTTTAGCACAAAATAAGCGACATAAGAAGTTAAGTTTATTTTCTCCATAACAGAGTAGAGGATGTTAGATTTAGTACCTAAGTCATTTGCAGCCTGCATATCAGGCAGTTTACTTTTAAAAATTTGCGTGACCTTGTGTAGGTTAGTTCCAAATGCTGTTTGAGATTCAGATAGAATTTTCATTAGTTCCAATAATTCCATTAGATTACTGCCGTTTGGCAAACTACTGGAGCTCTTGCCGTTTCTACCGTTGGTGAGATTTGTAGAAAAATTTAAGTCCATAGCAGCAGGTTCTGAAGAGGAATTGGCATTTTGTTCCAAACTACCTGATTTTAAAGTCTGAGCATAACTCACACCATTGCGGCGACTAGAAGACAGCTTTTTAAGTCTCTTAAGGCTAGGAAATTTTTCACAACCCCGATAAGAGGCTGGGTGACCCTTTTTTCCGCAGTTGCAGCACTTAGGGACGTCTAAGCGTCCTTTATCGCAGTCTTATGATGCCCAGCGCATTTCACGCATCGTGGGGAAACATGAGAATTCTCCGAGGAGTGGTGCCATTTATGGCAGTTAAAGCACTGCGGAACTTGGAATTTCGAAACATATTTTTCCACCGTAATTGAAAATAGGCACAGGTCAGTCAGTTTATGGATTCGATTGATTACTTCATTTTTAAATAACTGTACTTGAAATAAGGGCATGGGGGCCCGAGTCCTATTTTTTGTCAGCTGCACTACTTTGTGAACCTTGAATCCTTGCTTAACTAACTCATCTTTGATTTCGGAGACCTCCATATCAGAATGTAGACCTCTCAGTAGCAGCTTAACAGGCTTTTCATGCATAAGATTGACTACAAAATGATCGATGCCTTTTTCGAGAAAGTATTTACTATGATCATTATCAGTGTCCTATGATCATTATCAGTGCGGGGTAGAACCTTTAGAAATTCACAACTCAGACGGAATAAAAACTTGACATCAGGTAGTTTAGCGGCTAAGTGCTTAGCAAAATCATTAAACTTAACGTTTGCCTCAGGCCTTAACCATTATGGGGGGAATTATACGTTGAACAACAGTAGGGGCGTACTGTTGAGAACTACTAGCATTTACATTTATATTACAAACATTATTAGATGAAATATTTGCAGATACATTTGGTGGTGTATTTAATTATGACAAAGTACACTAGGGCTATCTGCCTAAGGGGAGGGATGCCTTCGTGGAGGACTTTCTAAGGGAAACTGGCTCGTATACACGTTACACATGGGGAAAACCACGAAAACACCCATGCAGCCAGCCCGTTCGCGGGATTCGTACCTCGGACCGAACTAGCAGTGTTCAGCGACTTTACCGCTCGGCCGCTACTGGGCCCTTGCAGATACATTTCAGTTTGAATTAGCTACATCATTATTTTCAGGCTGAGAATTGCTATCAAAGTCTGGAGTTACACCGTTATCAACAATATTTGCATGACTTAATACTTCAAATTTATTAGACGTAGTTGCACAAAATTTAGTCTTAGCTTTAGGAGCTCTGGCAGTTTCATTAGGTTTCTTAAACATATTACCATTTTCAGACAGATCAGAGTCACTTACATTACTTTTTCTCTTAGATGTGTTGCCCGTCCAGGACCACGTGCAACAGAAGTAGGCTTAAAACTTACGGTACCATCATTACAGTTATCACAGGTTAATATGGAACGATCTGCTAGGTATAAATTGCACTTACCTTCTTATTCGGAGATTTTTCTGTTGAGATTGGGGATTCAATTCGGAGATTTTTCCATCGAGAAATCCCATCGTAAAATTGTCCGGTTCAGTACAGTCCCTTTTAGCCCATCTTTCATGCAGAGTACTTTTCACAATATCGCGTTGATGTTTTAGTTTAGCAATTTTAGCTTGTGCAACATCATAGTCAAAATTCTCTAAATCACAAGGAGAACCCCAGTCTTCAATTACACATTCATAATTTGAACTAGATCCACTGGTATTAACAGTCGGAGAACCCGTAATAAAGTTCATATCCAAATTCACCTGAGCAGCAGATAGAGATCGACACGAGATCGGGCAGTCCTCCCCGTCACGCGTCGAGTGTCTGAATCAGAAAGAATCCATCGCACAGGCAGAAGCTCAGAAAGCCCAACCTTCACTACACTACTAACACGCGACTCCGCGTTTGAGTTCGTCCGCCAGCAGTCGACGAAAAAGGTGAGTGTACGCAACGAGTAATGGTGTACCACGGGTGTGCCTGGTCATAAGGACTCTACCAGGACTCCAAACCCCAATCGAAAATACGCTAGTTAGAACAGAATGCAAACTAAAATATGCGCAAGATTTCTAATACACATTTTTTTTCTTTTCTTCTTCTTTTTTTTTTTTATTTTACTATTTTACATATTTTTTTTAGAATTTATATATTATATATTATATATGTGTGTATGTGTTGTGAATAATGTTGGGGGTTAATAATGAAGTTAGGTGAATGGAAAGAAATGAAGAGGTACATAAGAAAAATAGCGAAAAATCATATAAATGCCGTCCAGGAAAGGCAAGCGAACAAAAAACAGGCAAAATATGCAAATTGCAAGTGCATTAAAAGAAAACATGAATACATCCAAGACATTTACAATACAGGTAAAAACATTAATGCACAACACAAAACATGGCATACAGAAGTTCGTCAACAGCATCACTATGTTGCATTGATCATTGACATCATAATCACAAATTTTAATCACGGGGTTACTAATGGACTCCAGATCTTCGTGAAATTTTTTGGCCAGTCGATAGTAAAAAGTTCTAATATGATCTATTTTCAGTTCAGTATGTAGTCTGCGATTTCGAACATACCATGGGGCATTGGCAATTTGTTTCAAAACCCCGTTCTGTGCAGTTTCCAGCCCTTTCCTTAAGGATCTACTAGAATAAGCCCACAAAGGGCAAGCATAACGCAATAATGGACGTAGAAGGGACTTGTAAATGAGTAACTTGTTGTCTATAGAAAGAACGCTGTTTCGAGCAATTAAGGGAAATAGTGTATGTTTACGTACTCGAAACTTTCTGATAATAGATGTAATGTGTGGGGCCCATGAGAGAGTTTTACTGAGGATCACCCCAAGATAAAGGACTTCCCTGGACCAGGGAATTGACACTCTATAGAACTGCAGGTTTTTGGTGAATTTCTTCTTTTTTGTGAACAGGATAGCCTGAGTTTTTTGCACATTAACCTTAATTTTCCATCTGGTGAGCCAAGTCTCTAATGCGTGGATGTGGTTTTGTAGCCGTTGTATAACTGGCCTCAAAAATGCACTTTGTGTAAGGATCGCAGTGTTATCAGCATACATTGCGAGTGTTGTGTTGTTCAGAGTAGGTATGTCGTTCACGTAGATAT